CGAAATATATATGGCAGGCATGTAACAATATATCTAAAGTAAAATATAACTTATTATCTCGAGGATGTATTTTTGCAAAACTTACAGTACTTAGATTATGTATATGTTTTTCATAACATATAACTTCAAGTACACATACTGAAATAAATTTGCTCTTTAAATTATCAATTAAATAATAAGTCTCCTTTTCTACTTTACAAACATGAAAATATTCACTTAAATTCTCACATATACATACATACACACACATACACACGCACACATAAAGTAACTTGTTCAAAAAAATATATCTTCAATTTTAAATGATAGAAAACATTTTTCTAAAAATTGTAAGCATATCATCTGCATAAAATATCAAGAAAAAACAAAAGGAAGAACGCACATTGTCATAAAATCTCTATCTCTAACCTCTCTCTAAACGGAGTATAAAAGTTTTATGGCTAGAGCTTATAAACTAAAACGAACTTTCTAACTTAGGGTGTTTTTCCATTTATAATTTTAGATTTTAAGTGAAGTTAGGGAGTTTTTTTTATTGTATAATTAACAATACTTTCTTACTACCATATCAATTACTTGAATATCAGGCCTATATTGTTCACCAAGCATTTTATAACATTTTGTTAATTTTTAAAAGCTTTTTAGAACATTGTAAAGAATTGCATCAATGTAACAAGTTAGTTTTAACGATAACTCGATATTTGATGTAATCTAATAACCACTCATTAATTTTATTTTTAACTCATTTAATTCATAACTAAAATATTAATACATACCAAATAAAAGTATTGAAATAATATAAGAAAATACATACATGAATTCATGAAGAAAAATGTTTGAATATATTTTTGGTAATTAATAATTATTATTAATAAGTTTGTTTCTACTCCTTAATATTTAAATTTACACGAAAATCGTATTATTTAGTAAAAATTGTTTTCATTTTTACATAAGCGATAATCATCAAATTTATTTTTCAATAATTTTTCATTTGATAAATAATTTTTTTATCAATAAAAGAAAATTTGATATTAAAAAAAAAGTCGTCAAAAACTGTAGAAAAATAAACTCCATTAAATTAATTTGGTTTTCTAATTAATCTAGTTAATTAAATTACCTTAATTAACTATGGAGATATTGCAATTAGTAAAACCTCTAGAGACATTGCATTTGTTTGTTAATTAGGTACTAATAGGAAAACTATGTGGTATAATTTATAATGGAATAATGATTTTTAACGATATTTGATTGTTATTTCGTTTCTAACCAATAATGAAAAAAAAATATTTTAAACCTTTATCCTGGAGATTAGTAATTTTTCTGTATATTTTGAACGTCTATTTGTTTAGTTTTTAGTTGTACGATTAATAATATCACGAATTCAAAACCGTTTGAAATAATAAATTAATTCATCGGTTCATTATTATTTTTATAGTAAATGCCATATGATTAATGATTAGCCGTCCAGAGACTCATTGTATCGTGTGTAATTTATTGTTTGTCACTTATTCGGTTGCCACGTGAAATTAATTTAACGAAGACTAATAGTATTTTAGATGAGGCGAATTAAAGAAAATTTTTGTACAATATTGTCGTATAAATAATTTATAATACGTATTCACTATGGAATTGTTTAAAAACTATGTTTTACGAAGAAACCAATTTTATAATTGTAAATTGTATATTATAAGCGTCAGTGGCGTATATAGGTTTTCATTTCGGAGGGGGTCGATTATGAAATTGATTTTTGGGTGGAAGGGAAGGAGGAAGCATACTGTTACGAAAACAATTATTTTAACACTATAAGACCTTTCGACTGTCTTTACATCATCAGAGAAATAAGAAACTCAAATTTTTAATGATTTATTATTTAAAAGTATAAAAACTACATTGTAATGAACAAATTTTTTATTAGAGTCACTCAAAATTCACTAAATATTTTCTTAAAAGAATAAACATATTTTATAAATATAAAATTTTAAATAATCGCATAAGCAACATTTTCAGTGTAGCGACAAATTTTCAGAAACCCCTAGTATTAAGACATATCCATGTTAAAAATAACAATCTTTAGCAATGGTGTTTTTCATTTCAGAAGGGGCCCGGGTCTCCTCGCCCCCCCCCCCATAAATACACCCCTGATAAACGTATAAATAGTATAACCTACAAACGTAAACGTACGTATAACTTAAGTTATCGATGATCCTTTTTGTGTGGCATAAAAACGTAAAGTATCGACAATAGCTACTACACTGGACTGAAATGAAATTATTCTTGAACGCATTAGTCGGTTGGCCGATGAAAAAAAAACGAGTGCCGATCAATAAACACTCTGGTGGATACTATTAGCGATGATTTGTGCGCAGGGAAACGAATAAGGTAGTAGCTGCCGCCGACTGCGATTAAGGACGTAATCAGCGCAATAAGAACCGGAGGATACGCGTGAAGCCACACGCGTTTACGCCTTTGTGGACAGCGGTGGTGGTGGTCACACAGAGGGGAGACAATAGCCATTCCACTTCAATCACAGGTCAATGCCGCCGTATTATTGGCCGCCGAATCCCGGTAATAGTTTCGTCGTGTGCGTGCGGTTTGTGTGATAATAAATACGTGGTGCTCGCGGTTCTCGACCGATTTTCCGACAAAGTTCGAACCGACAAAACTTTTACGACACAAGATCGGGTTTGGAGCTCATTACTATTGTTTCGCAGTTTCTTTTTGGCTTGCCGTCAAGATTGTTTCACTCACCCGACACACTACGATAATGTGTTGACGTCTCACACTCGATGGACGGTCGAAAACAACGTTAAGCGACCGGATCACGTCATAACCAAGGGGTTTTCGCACCGTTGCCGAGACAAATCAGAAAAATATTAAACAACTACATTGGGTAATGTAATACTACGATCACGTGGATACGCGCGGTGTTTTTAAATTTTTTTTACGCGTACGTTTTCAAAGTCTTCCCGAGCATGAATGAATCAAGATGCTTACCAACTTGCACATTTACAGGTTTTAATGTATAGCAGAAGGACGTGATAATCAATTAGATATAGAACACGGAACGGTCGTGAAGACGCGGTACGTTCATTGGAAAACAAGTATTTTAATACTAGGGAACAATGAACGGGTAAGAAGGAACGTTATGGCTTTTAGTGAAAATAATACTTCGTCGGCTTAGAAGAAAATGATAATAGTGTAATAATCTTGAGTTAACGACGTTTCAACCTATATTATATATGTATGATATAAGATTATTCTAACAATAATAGACTAAAAATAACACGGAGAATTTTTTAAAATTGATTTAATACTAACCACTAACTAAAAAAATGAACTTACTATTTATTTTTCTTGAACATTATTTATTTTATTAAATTAAATAACTACATTTGCTTTTCATAACTCAAAGATATCATGCAAGGCTTACCAAAATCTAATAGGTTCATACTTAAACTATGTTCAATCGATTTTAGTTTTATAAAGGTTTTAAAATGTTAATTAGAAAAATCTATTATTTACCGAGTTTAGACGGTTACTTATTCAATATGCAACCATAAGTCGAAGTCATTTTTTCAAATTCGATGACTGAATGATGTAATAAATTTGCTTTAATATTGATGAAAATAAACAATTCTTATGAAACCAAAATTATAATTATGTTTTAAACCTACGATATCTTATCATATTTTTCTTTTGATTGCATCAATAAAAATATAAAATTACTCAAGGATTCGACAGACGTAGTTCTGTTGAAAAAAAAACTGTTTACTTGTTTTGTGCAAGTGAAAAACATTTATTAACTGATAAAATTGTAAATCTAAACCTTCTCGATTCAACTTTATCACAACGTGAAATTTCATAAAAATCAGTCCAACCATTTAGGAGGGATTCAGTGACATACAACGGGTAGTAAAAGTATATATATACATATATAGTTTATGTCGCATTTATTCGTAAAATTTGTATGTATTTGAAATTGAAATTATTTGATTGCAAAAAATCAAGAAAATAGAATAATAAATAATAATAAATTACTACGAACTACAATAATTTAAAATTTATAATAACATATCAATCTTTTTTCTTTTTTATTATTAAGAACTCTCAGTACAAACTATTATAGTTCAACAATTACAGATCAATACATGATAATATATATAGCTCAACGATTAGATAGTGAAATATTTAAATGTAACAATAAAAACAACGAAGAACTACATATACTGCTGATACAAATAATAATAATAATAGTAATATGAAATTTGTCTTGATTTATAAGCATAGAACAATTTATTTTCTCCGAGTGAAAATGGAAAACGAATATAAAGCATTTCCTCTGAATGTAAAAATTGTTCTAGTTCATAAATCTTCGTTTACAAAAAATTTTGTTAGGTTAAATATACCTACTATAATAAGAGAGAAAAACTGGATATACATTTATAATAAAGTTTTTGTGATCAAATTTTAATACCTATTACGTTTTAATGACATTTCTTATATATTTAGTAAAAATAAGTAGTAATTTAAGTTATAGAAGCACAAAAAAAAAAAAAAAAAAATATATAAGTCCGTTTTTTTCGTTCTGATGTATCATTAAATTATCAATATTTTATAAAAATAAAATTATTTTCTGGAATGTAATTACTGTGATTTTATTAATTTTTTTTATGATGATGTATTTTTTAGTTTTTTATCAGATAGTCTCGTTTTAAAATTTGTAAACAATTACATCAAAGTTTAATAATAATATAACGGTATTATGTGACTATTTACTAAAAGATCCAATTTTTTTTTTTTTACTTGCACATTATTATTTGTCTTTATCACATTATTTTAATTACATATTATATAAAAATGTGCACTATTTATATAATATAATATAATTAAATTGCATGCGTTGGTACGCAACACCTCGTACGATTCATTTATACATAGTTTACAGGATTTATATTTTGTGTGAATTACTTGAGATTGTAAAAACAATACTTTTTTTGTTTTAGTTATCAGTATCAAATGCCACTCAAGTATTTCTGCGTGACGTAGGTTTCAATTTGTCTGGAAACTTAAGCTGTGAAGTAACAACTGACGGTCCTTCATTCAAAATTGCAAGCGCGTCCAAACGAATCATTGTTGTGGGTAAGTACAATTCAAATGCTCATAATTTAGCAGTTAAATTTGAAATTTGTAACTCAGTTATATTTAACATATAAAAAAAAAAAAAATTTCATCTTTTTCAAATATGAATCTACTGAGTCTTAGTGGACTTAAAAGTAACAATTTTTGTTACCGTACCTTTTACTAGCTTAAAATATGCTACTCTCTATGGTACTAAAATAAATAACAAACAAAAATAAAAATAAAATATTATACTTTGAAATTTCCCAAAGGATTGATTTTTTTTGTAACTCAGTTAATCCCTATGGATATGAAATATACATGTTTAAGTCCATTAGAATTTAGAAAAGCAATTTTATTCGTTATGCTGTCAAAGTTGTATTACAGAAGATGATTATGTTATTTTATACCACTTTTTAATGGTCTTATTGAAATCACCTTAGTTTTATTTAATCATCATTGTCAAAATTATGATTTATGATAAACTATGAGTTATATATTTTATACTTCGTATTACCTAAACTTCATTAAAATGTTATTAAAATGTGAAGCTGTGTGATTATATTGTTACTTAAGATATTTAACATTAATTTAGAAGTTGCATAAAATATTATATGGTGAAACTATTGGTGAACAAAGTTGGTTTTGGTCTTGCAGTCTTGGTCTTGGCATTGCTGCAAAAGTATTGCAATTTTTATTGCAATTAAAAAATAAAAATATTTCAAAAAAATCACATTTAGTGATTAAAACAATTTACTATGAATGTAATACAAATTTAATATAATTTGACGTACGATACGGTGGTCGGAGAAACAACAAATTATTGAATTATTTAAAACAAGATAGAAATAATTGGGTATTTTATTCACTATAAAATGGTTTTATAGCATATAGCAATTACAAAAACGTAAATCCTAAAACAATATAAAAAAAAAAAACAAGATTTACTACACATCACTTATTCTAGATCCAAGGTACAAGGCAGAAACGTTTAATTTAATGCTTTGGGGAGTAGAATTAAAAGAAAAAACATACTTAAACAATGAGCCACTTTCAGAGTTGTCAGATGAAGACTTTATTGATAATGATGAAGATGTTATAGATTTCAATGCACTATATTCAACTCCAATTCATTTCACAAATTTTCAGAATAGGAAGCAAGAACTGAAAAAATACCTTAGAAAGCCAAGGAGTGCAAGCAATGAAGACATTTTAAAATAATGGAAACTAAATCAAGTATTAGCTAAGATAGCAAGAGATTTTTTATCGATTTCAGTCATCTCGGTTCCTGCAGAAAAACTCTTTTTCGAGATATAATTAGTTATATACAAACACCGGAACAGATTAAGCAATTTTTTTAATTTTTTTTATTTCATATGGCAATACATCCTTGTGGACTGGCAGATTGGGGGGTTTTTGATTCGTAGCATTATCTTGGCAGTTGCAGCGTAGCGGCGAATATCGGGTAAAACAATGTTGGAGAGGACCTGCAGCCATTGTAGATTAAGCAATGAATCTGCAAAATGGAATACTTGGAATCAACTTTTGGTCAAAACAGATTTTGTAAATTTACTGTTCTATTCTTGATTCTTTTTAATATTTATCTTTAATTACAGCTATATATATCTACATTGCTTGTATATATGTTGAATATTTACAGTATTTTTTTTTTACACTAAAAATGAAAAATAATTTTTAGAACATTTTCTTACTATATATCAAGCCATCTTAGTTGTAAGATATTTTATATTGTTATAGTTCAATTAAATAATTGTTTATATTTGAATCATATACACCCGGTGTGCAATAGTGTGACTTCCACTACTATGTGATATTCTGTTTGGATCTCAAATGTGACCTCCCCGTTTTATATCCATTATCCATTTCATGAACATCACTAAAAACTTATCGCAAAAAAGACTTCAAAACGTAGGCACATTTAGATTGAACATGTAATGTAAATCATTAATCTGTATGCGAAGTACTGTTTGAGTCCCAAAATTGACTACACATTTCAATTTCTATGTGTCATCGCATGAAGTTCGGGATAATCTAGTTATATTAAGGACTTTCATGCGTAGTTCAGTATATAATGAATGATTACCATGTTAAGCAAAAAATAAAAAACCAAAATATATGTATATAACGTTTTCTTGCGGTCAATTATTTATTATTTATTAACGAAACATAATTTGAAATACCAAACTTTTTTTACTGCCGAACCCCTTAGAGATAATAAAAATGATCGTGGACCTCTTAGTACAAATAAAAATTAAAAGCAATAATTTATAATAATACATTGTAAATTTTAAATTTACTTTAGTGGACCCCCTCCGGTATACGTGCGGAGCCCTCAGAGTCCGCGGACCACAGTTTGGGAAACGCTGTTATAGACTATAGTAATAACTATAATGATACAAACGGAACCTGTTGTACCTCTAGCGATTATTGGACCATGGATTTTTGTTGAAGTTGTAAATCTATATAAATTATATACTAAATAAAATTATATTTAACATTTTCACTATGTCTATAATGACCATAATAGTATGATGAACAAAGTAAATCGAAAAACGCGCATTTATTGGTGTGTTGTGTACGTTGCGTCTGTATAATAATAAATTATAAGAATTATCTCGAAGGGTTTTACTCAAAACATCATATCAAGTTCTATCATTCTAATTGCCGTCTTTTCGAATATATTGATATTGTTATATATATATATATATATATATATATATATAATTAGGTTTTTATCGAATATTGTATATTTTCGTCATCCCGACGGTCACTGTAGAACTGTATACTTATGATTTGGTTATGATTTATTATTTTATTTTGTAGTCGTTGTTCGCTATTTTATTAGATTTAATTTTAAATTTTATGTCTGACAATAAAGCAGTAAAGTATATATTATTAAATATGAATATAATAAATTATATACCTAAATAATTTATTGAAAATTATTCCTAATAATACTAAATAGTTTATTAGGAATAATATACTATAAAAATAAAATTAATTGTAAATACAAGTATATTTACCACCAGTTTCTATATAAAAAAAACCATCACCGATTTATTTATAAACGCATCATTGTATAATGTTACATATATAATGTTTACTTTTACTTTTAGTATATTAACTTATTAATAAGCAAATGTCACGATAGGGTGTCCCAGTAGTACAGGTCTAGGAATAAGAAGGTAAGGGTACACGGTTCATATATCGTCGAGCATATGAAGTAAACATACAATTTTTTTTTATTTTCTGGACAAAACCATTGCGAAGTCTATGCGCAGAAAATGAGAAGTTCCGTTAATCTTTATGTACTAACATTATTAAGCTCTCAATATGACATTATTGACTACTCATCGTAATTACATGTTGATATCTCATACAGTAACTTCGTTCAACCTGGCGTTAAGCGTCCATAACACATCTATGAGAAGTCAACAGGCACTTATTCGTAACTTCTCAACCGTCAGTGTCAACTATGCGACTACTATGCTATAGGATTTTGCACACCGGGCATATTCTGTATATATATATGTGTATGTTTTACTAGTTTAATTATATGTTAGAGATAATAAACAATTATCAAATTCTACAAAGTAGCCTAGATAGGGATATAATGTTTTTCTTTAAATTTTAAATAATGGAAGAATCTCGCAGCAAAATCAAAACTTTAAGTGCAA